CGGTAGGAAACATCCGGCTAGAGTTTCCTTTGAGCACTCAATACGACTGGCCTGGGGCTGCACGTTCCAAGCGATGATGGAGGAGGGGGTGGAATGACTTATCAGTGAGCTTGCGCTTGACCCCCCCAGGGCCTGTCTTGACAGACCTCAGCAAGGGGAAGTAACAGATGGAGGAATCAGGGGTAAGGAAACATTGTCCAGGAAGTGTTCACAGGCCTCAGGAAAACACAGAACAAATGGCCTCGCCACACGTCTCCAGCATATTGCACACGACGCCTGTTTTCTTTAAAAGACTCACAGCAGGTGTTCTTTAAAGAGCCGCTGTTGTCATATAGCAGTATTTCCAAAATGCGGGGGGCATGGAGGGCTAGCAAAGGTGGGGAGGGGCACAGCTGGACCCCTTTACTGATCCCCAGAGTCTCAGCTGGTACTTGAAACGCAAAGTCTCTAGCTGCGATGGTGGTGAAGACCACTCTTCCAGCGTGAGCCACGTGTAACCGCTGCAGTGAAGTTTGCAGATAGCCAGACACACTGGCTCCCAGAGATGTGAACTGCGCCCCGTGCTGGTCCTTTACAAAGATGCTGAAGATCTACACCAATCTTTCCCGAAGTGGAGGAGTGCAGTGGCAGGGTTAGGGACTAAATGAATCCCTGTCTTCGAACCTGCCTCTCCAGTTTTGGTTCCAGTTTGGACCAAGCACCAGATTCAATAGAGTTTGGATTAAGAGACAGCTGGGATTTTTAGCTTGAAAAGGTGCCAGGCGCTAGTTGATCTGCCAAGATGCCCAGCATTCCAGATCTATTTGCCATAGGTGCCGAACAAGAGCATGTTGATTCTTCGGCCCGGCCCCTGAATCCTCACCCTAATCCAACTCCCCCCTCGGCCCAGCTTTGGTCTCTAACAACCAAGTGAAGCAAAACATCCCCCAGGGGGTTATTTCGAAGTGGGGCAGAATGCTTTTGAACATCAGCTGCCAGGTATCAATAGCTCCTTTGATGAATTCCCAGAGGGGAGGGGGATTAATCTATTGACGTTTTCATCTGTGATTTGGCTGTCACATGATCCATGCAGCGAAGAAATCAAACTAAAGAGCTTGGGAAAACGGAGTATGCACAGAGCCCATGTACACAGTGGATCTCAGCAGATTTAAAAGAAGGGGAGTTGACCCTTATATGGATCTGGACAACAGCCACAGTTATATCAGGCAGAATAAAAAATTACAAGGGTCAAGACAGGGCTATAAACCAATTCCCTGCTCTACTCCAGATTCATTTCCTCTCCCTGGGTCTCAGTACTCTACCTGTAAAATGGGTATAACAATTGCCCTACCTCACAGAGGGGACTTCAGCAGCAGAGTCCAGGGAAGGGGTAGGGACGGTTTTATGGCCTGCAGCATGCAGGGGGTCAGACCAGATGATCATAATGGTCCCTTCTGACCTTAAAGTCTATGAGTCTATGAGTCTATGAGGGGCTGTGAAGCGAGGTAAGATTCTAGCCCTAGATCCTGCAGCAATGGGGAGCTAGGGAAGTCCCAAAGGTAGCCAGAATCCCGCTCTGTTTATGCATGAGAAACAGGCAATGAAACTAACTGGAAATGAAATGTGAAACTGAACAGTTGGTAAACAGCAGCGATGGTGAAAAATAGATCTCCATTCTCATGCTCCAAGGCGCCATCAGCAACTCAGATGAGGAAATCGGTTTGTAAACATAGCAGGGCTTTTGTTGATGGTGCCTCTTTAAGAGGAACCAGTGGTTTGAAGCGAGCTTAGCTGGCTTTCCCTGCGGTTGGAGGTACTTTGTCACTATCCCCAGCCATGCCCTCTCTGTCAGCGGCAGGGAAAGGACGCTAAACGGGCCTGCGTTTTGAGCAGACGGCTAAAAGCGGTTCCGGGCCGATGCAAGCAACCAGGACGCGAAGCCAGTCAAATAGAACAAAGGCGTGAAAGGTGAAAATATGCGGGTGTTCCCATAGTGCTTAAGATCCCTAGTCTTGCACCAAGATCCTATCGTAGTAGGTAGGCACTGTGCAGAACCAGAGGTGTCCCTGCCCTGCCGGTGTACCTCGCTCACCAGGGCGGTGGGATAGGTCAGTCCATGCAGCACATTCAGTGCTGGGTCTCTCCACCAGCAAGGATGTTTAAATGACACCATAATTCCCATTACATCCTACCAAGGCAACGAGGGCTCTCCACTGCTAAGCACGTTGACACAACTGCCCCCCCCATCCCCTCTATCTTCCTACCCCATTTCAAACTCCCCGCTTTGGTTTGCAACTTTAACACCAAGTGGAGAGCGGCGCTGATGTAGGGTGGCGGATTCTTCACAGCATCAAGGCAAGGCAAGATGTATTGACTCAGAGTTCCTGCTCTCTTCAAGCGACAGCACGTCTGTCCACCCAAACATGGCATGTGAAAGAGAATCAAACAGGCTCTAAGCAGCCCTTGGTACAGCAGGGATGAATTTGGCCCTCTACATAAAAATCCTCCCACGTTACTAATAATACCTTAGATTTTTAAAGCTGAAAGGAGATGGTAAATTTTCCCCCAGGGGTTTCTTTATAGGTTCGTGTGCTAGCACAGGACTGAGGAGTTTGGGTTGGAGGCCATTTGGGGGAATGTTTAATACTGATCATTAGCGCTTGGGCCATTTTGGATCCAAATCCCAAGTTTCCCCAGAGATCAATGAAGGGGAGAGGTTTCAAATTCAGGTTTCCAGTTCAAGCTCGCATCTGCTAATATACTAAACATACATCGCCTGTTATCGCAAGGCACTTCAGAAACCTGGGGCCAGAAAACTCCTCTCACATGCAGCTGCTTCTGGGGTGGAGAGCGGCAGCCAGACATCTTCCAACAGGAGTATTTCTCCCAGGCAGCACATTTTAATCCCAGGGTTAGTACTTTGGAAGGGAGACCGCTCTGGACGCTGCAGGAAGGGGCTGTGGTAGGGACTTTTTTCCCTTCTATGCGAGTGCAGAGCCGGTGCCCTTGCACGGCGGTGGGGGTCAGTGCGTTGTTAGAAATAGCGTCTAACCGATGAGATCCTAACCCCTTGTAATCATTAAAGAACTTCCACTAGAGTAAGGGGGTTGGAAATTGGCCGGTTCACGGCACCCAAAGTGGATCATTCCCCCTCCCCCTCTCTAACCTCCCCCCACCGTGTCGACGGACTACAGTAACCACTCTCGGTCTCCGAAGTCATCCTGTAGCGATGCTGTTGCGTGCCAGCTGTTTCCTCCGCCTTTTGCAAGCCTTAGGAGTCCGTGCTCAGGACACAGCTGACGATGCGGGAGGTAGAACAGACGCCAGCTCCCCCTTCCCAGAGCTAAGTAGGGTGAGAACATCTATCGACAGCGAAAAGAAGCGACTCAGAAAAGCAGCCGATAGGTGGAAGGAGAAAGGTTATTTCCGCTAGCCCCACTTCTCCATCCCTCACGACATTTTAAAGATGATTCAGTCTTGACTGTTCTTTTGGGAAGAAAAACCTGCGCACCAAGTTTCGGCTGGATAATAATATTTTGCTCTTCTAGGCCCTCTTCTCTTCGAGGATCTCAAAGCACTTCACACTCATGAGCCATGAGGTAGGGGAATGGGACTACATCCCTATCATAGCAGGGGAAACTGAGTCACAGGCAAGGTGAGAGACTTGTGCCTGAACAATTGGCAAGTGGCGAAGCCGGCAACAGGACCCACAAATCCTCTGCTTTAACACGAGCCACGGGGTCGGAGTTGCAGGTGGGGAAACTGAGGCACGGAAAGCGATGAAGCGACTTGTCCAAGAAATTCAGTGGAAGAGCCAGGAAAAGAATCCCAGCCCTGTGGTTTATCCACAAGACTTTCCTCCTTCCCGGAGGATAGGGTTTTAAATGGCCATGGTGAGACAGACAGACAGGGAGAGCAGCATTCTCTATCTAGAGGCCCCTTTAAAATGTTTTGCTCTTGCGGCCACTCTCCCCAGCCCAATTAAAGTGTTCAGTTACCAACGTACCGATCAAATCAAACGCCATAGATTAAGCTACTGCGGTGTGCTGATCCCCTTACGAAAGGCAGCTCCTACCCGTGCTCACGTCAGTGGCTCAGCTAATCAGAGCAGTTGGTGTTTCCAGAAGGCCCTAGTCTAGCCTGATCCTGAGAGGCGCTGAGCGCCAACAGAAATCGAGAGCGCTCCGCTCCGGTCAGGATCAGGCCCCGAGACACAACGGTCATGTGTGACCAGCACAGGCTGGGTAACAACACCCGGGAGCTGGGAACTCCGGCCTGGGTCTGGCGTCTCCTCTAACACCCCCAGGGTCCGAGCTTAGAACCAGGTTCTCCCCCACCCTAACAGACCTTCCCATTGAGCCTCTAGGGTCTAGAGAGGAGAAGGGCCCAGGCACCCCGGTGATGGGCACAGGAGAAGATCAGTGACACCCCCCCCCTCCAGGGGGCAGACAGTGGAACTTTTGTCCCCAAACTCCCCGTAGGGCAGAAAAGAGGGGAGGGTATTGCTCTAGGGGGCTGAGAGGCAGAAGAGGAGTGGGGGTGGTTGTGGCCCCCAGGGGCAGAATAAGGGGGAGGCTGTGGCCCCAGGGGCAGAGTAGGGGGAGAAGGTATCTGTGGCCCCAGGGGGAAGATGGGGGGCTGTGGCCCCAGGAGGAAGGCAGGGGGGAGAGAGATGGGAAGGGACATTTAGACCCTAGAGGGTGGGGGGAAGAGATGGGGGGACTGTAGCCCAAGGAGGCAGATGGGGGGGAATGGGGAAGGAGATTGGGGCCCCAGGGGTGGGGGGAAGATATGGGGGGGACTGTAGCCCTGGGGGCAGGAGGGGAAAATGGGAAGGAAGGTTGGCACCCCAGTGGATGGGGAGGGAGATGAGGGACAGGCAGGAGGGAGTTGGGGGCTGTGGCCCCCCCAAGGAGCAGGAGGAGGGAATGGGGAGGGAGATTGGGGCCCCAGGGGATGGGGGGGGATTTGGGGGCTGTGGCCCCCCAGCGGGCAGGCCAGGAAGGGCCAGTCACACTCACCAGTTCCAGCTTCAGTGCCTTGATCTTCCCGGCCAGCCCCCGGCGCTGCCCCCGGGCCGGGCTCTCCCGGAGCAGCGCGGCGGCCGGGTCCTCCCGGAGCCAGCGCACCAGCCCCTCGGGGGCCCGCCGCCCCACCTTGCTCTCCAGCTCCTTCAGGTCGGGGGGCAGCGGCTCGCCGCAGCCCGGCCCCTCCATCCCGTACGCGGCAGGGCCGAGCGAACCCCCAGCGGGGACCCTCCCGGGCTCAGCAGGGGGGCAGCCCCCGGGCGCCCCTCATCGCACCCGGGGGGCGAGCCCAGGACCCCCGCCCTTGGGGGGCTCCCCCCAGCTCCTGCCCCCCGACGGCTGGGGCGGCTTTAATGCAGCATCCGCCCCACACACACTGCGGGTGCAAAGGCAGGAGGGGGGCCTGCAGCCGGGCTCCCCGCTCCAGGCAGCTCCCGGGGCGCCCTCGCCCCCGGGCAGATCCAGCCCCGGCCTCGCCTCTTCCACCTGCCCGACTGCAACCAGCCCGGCCGCTGCGGAGGGCTCGCTACACGCCCGCGGCCGTAAGGCACCGTGTGCAGGCGCAGCTGCCGTATTTCTCCGAGTGGAGAGCAAGAGAAAAGAGGGGGCGGGGCGGAGCCCGCTGCTGACCAATCCTTGGCGCGGTGGGGGGAATGGGGGGAAAAGCTAAAGGATGGGGGCACCTCAGAGCCGGCATCTCTTCATCCCCGCGGCCGGGAAGGCTTCACAAAGGTCAGGTCTGTTAGCCCCAGCGAGGGAGGGAAATGTTTGCCGGCCTCTTGGGGTATTTGCGTGTCTTGGGACTGGAACTTGGGGGGCTGCTGCACCCCCTGGCTTGAAGTGGTTTCCATCATCTACAGGATTTATGGTTTGGTTCAGTGGCTCTCGGCACCCCCACTATGCAAATTGTCCCATTCCCCCTGTCTGCCAGCCAGAGGAAGGCTGGGCCGATGGGCAGGGCATTCGCCTAGCGCTTGGCAGACCTGGGGTCAAGTCCCTGTTCTATCACCAGCTTCCTGGGAGACCTACGCAAGCTCTGTAGGCGCAGGTCCTCGCAGGTATTGGGCTAGCAGCTGCCCGTCTCAAAAGGCAGTGGTGTGAGTGCCACTGCGCCTCCATTACCATGTCCTGTGGCAGCGTCTCCACCTTGAACAAGGCGACGGATGGTCACACCTGAACTTTCAGCACATACACCTAGGTGGGGAAAAAGAGAGACAGAGGCTCGCCTTAGGACATAAAGACCCCCCCCCTTGGCAGTACCAAGGGCCCCATTTGGAAGCCAGCCCAGCCACAGGAGATGCCAGAGGGCAGAGCTTTCTCCGCAGCGGATTTGGGCCTGGGTTTTCTCCCCAGCCTTCGTTCAGCCAAGAACCAGCTGCACAGCATCAGTGCCAGCTGGAGTTACGCCTGAATGGCTGTTGTTGTTCATTCCAGTGTCCCACACGTGGTGAGCAGTGGGGTTCCTGGTTTAGTCACGCCCCGCCTGACCCCTGGCAGATTGTGCTGGGTTACGTTTAGTGGTAGCAGTTCTTACATGCCTGGCCTGACCTACGGCCCAAGGTATGTAGGCTCCTAACTTCCACTGATTTGAAGAGCTGGGCCTTAGTCTCTTCTGGTTCCCCCTGTACAGTAGGGATAATATCACTTCCCTTTGGCACAGAGGTGTTGTAAGGATAAATCCATGGTGATTTAAGTGCCTTGACCAAGGTCGCCCTGCAGACCAGTGTCAGAGCTGGGGTAGCGCTTAGAAGTCCCTGCCTTGGTGTTGGAACTCCGGGTTTGGAATGTCTCACCATAGGTGATCAGATGGTGTCCAGATCCCACATTTTGGACGAGGCTTTTCCCAGACAATGTTGTTGCCGCTCACAGGATTCCAGGAGGAGACAGAAAATAAAACCCCAAACAGAATAGAAAAGGCAAAAAAATGGCCTGGCGTGCATTGAACCCCCTGGGACATGCTTTGGTGCTTAGCAGTTGTGATAGATCCCTTCAAAAGGCAACATGGGGAAGAGATTTCTGAGAGGAGACACTCCCGCTATCTAGCAGAAAACGGCATAAGACAATCCAATGGCTGGAAACTGATGCCAGACAAAGAATTAGCAATAATTATTAACAGGGAGGGTAATTAACCATTGGAACAACTCACCTAGGGGTGTACTGGATGCTCCAGCCCTTCAGATCTTTAAATCAAGACCAGGTCTCTTGCTAAAATTCGTGCTCTAGCTCAAACAATTTGGGCTTGATGCTGCAAGCGCTGGATGAAGTTCTCGGGCCTGTCTTATACAGGAGGTCAGAGTAGATGGTCACAACGGTCCTTTCTCACCTTAAAGCCAATGAATGAATCTCTGAAATAGCATAGATTGGACAGATAGGTGCTGTCTCTATCTGGCTGGTGATGCTTTTCCAAACAGTAAGGGGTGCTGTTCGCCTGTGCCAAACTTCCAGGCAGCTAATCCCATTCCAAACCCTGAAGGGTATTTCTAAGTCCCCCCTTCGCCATGCTACTTAAGCATCATATCGATTCTGCCAGGCTAATATTCCCCAATATTCACCTCTCCTGTCCTACACTGTGTTGCTCTGCGCTGATAAGCATCCTCCACAGAATAACACACTGAAATCCAGTGCCAAAGTGAACCCTGAGAAGAGATTCTCTATCTATTTGTAAAGGTGCTTTGGGATTCCGTAGTGAATATTCCAGCAGAGATTTGAAGCTGTAAAGCCCTAGGGAAGTCCCGAGCATGGTTATTTGGCCAAAAGGCCCCATACGGACGTAGGAAGGATGGTCTTGAGGTTACAGTTCAGGCCTGGGTGGGAGGAGATTGTGAGCTTTAGTCCTAAATCTGTTCCAGATCTCCTGTGTGATGTTGGGCAAGCCACGCCCCTTTCTGTGACTCAGTGTCCCCATATGTTCCATGGCGAGAACAGGACTGACCTTCCTCACCGATGTCTCATGAGAACTACCTACCTGTTATTTGCAAAGCCTGCTGAGATCCTCTGACAGACGGTGCTAAATAAGTGCCAAAATCATCCATGTGGCTTTAGTGTATGGCAGCGGTCCCCAATGCGGTGCCCGCGGGCGCAATGGCGCCCACCGAGGCGTCTAAGTGCGCCCGCTTACTGGCCGGCGGACGAGCATCCACCGAAATGCCGCCGACAAGCAGCGTCATCCAGAGGCATGTCGGATGACGCCTATTGACGTTGCCGCTTGTCGGCGGAATTTCGGCGGATGCTCGTCCACCGCCACAGTCCTCTGTTGTTCGTCGTCTGGTGCCCGCCAGACGAAAAAGGTTGGGGACCGCTGGTGTAAGGCAACCACAATCCTGGACCATTTACATCAATGGGAGTTTTGCCATAGAGTTCAGTTGGTGCAGGATTGGCCTTCAAGTTCATGGGATCAACCGATCCTTGGGCAAGGAGCCAGGAGGCCTTTGTGGCTGGCCCGTAGTCGATTGCTGTGACTAAGTCCTTAGCCTTCTCTTGGCCTAAGGGGTTTCATTTTGAACCTCGCCTGCAATTTGCGTCTTGATTTATATGCATTTAAAAAACCATTGGGCTGAGGCTGCCTTTGTAATATTGCCCCCGCCCTCCATGTCAGCCTGGGACACTACCAAGTCTAAAATTAGCCTCCAAGAACACCATGTGGGCTTCCGAACTTGAAACCGCTCCCTGAACCCAGAGGACGCGCACAGCAAGCGCTGCCGTGGAAGGAGACAACAGAGCAGGGGTCTGCCGCTCTGTAATCCCCAGAAAAATGATATTAAAACGAGTCTCTTTGGTAGGTAGGAATTGCCAGGCAGGAAGTGCACCAGACCCCTGGACCATCTGGTACAGCAGCCCTGCCTGGGGCAGCGTGGGCTTGAACTCAGGAGACCTGAGGACTGCTCCCCATTCACCCTCCAGACGCCTGTGTGACCTTGGGCACGTCTTTTCCCCGCTCTGTGCCTGTTTCTCCTCCCACCTTCGTCTGTCATGTCTGTTGGGAGCAGGGACTGCCTCTCGCTGTGTGTTTGTACAGCATCTAACCCCTCACCTTTATCTTGGTTAGAGCCTCTAGGTGCTACCTTAATACAAGTGATAAATAATAATAAACAATGTTGGGTACTTCAGGGGTCGGGGCAAAACCGCTAAATGCAATTCAGATGATCATGTATTTGTATTTGCCTATGAGCCCCAGGCATGGACCTAGGCACTGTACAAAATATACAATATTCTAGATCTAAGGAATATTTTTTCTTGTTCCCAGATGGAAAACAGTTTATGGGACTGAAGTACATGGGAGTCTTGCTGTTGACCTTAATGGGAGTGATTGGATCAGACCTTCTATCACGAGGTTGGAGTATGGACAGCCCTTTTTATTTTGATAGTAGCTAGTGAACCTGCAGATTCTATTTCTCTCCTTAATTGCCTCTGTAATTTCATGTGGCGCTGAGTTCCACAGGTTAATTGTCCACTGTATAAAAAAAGCATTCTTTATTCTTAGCAGAATGAAAAGCAAATCGGTTTGAGGCAGGTGACAAGTGATTAAAACTCTATACTACACCAGGCTGCAGTTGGAGTGAACTGTCAGGGCTTAGTGCTGGACATTTGGCAGGGGGCTGCTGGGAGGTCAGTGAGGCCCTGGCCTACAGGAGGAGGGAGTCGGAGTTGGCACTCTGACTGGCAGCATGAAGGGTGACATCTGCTCTTGGCACAGGCAGTGCGAGGGGTCTTGTGCTGCTGATCCCCAGGCTGGAGATACCAAATGGATCTTGGTCTCCAGGGTCTGTCACGAGTGCTGAAACAATTTGCTTCAAAACCTGACAGCCTGAATCACAATATTGAGCTTCCCCGGTGAAAAATCCCAGGCATTTCGCATCATCCCCTGGATGCAGTTACAAGATACTATCACGGCTGAAGGCGCCGGCTTAGCTGGCAGCCCTTCCCAGAACTAAGCCGGTTCTACTAGCTGTGCTCCCTGGCTTCCCACTGAAGTGTTACGAGGCAGAGCCAGTGAGCAAGTTGGCTCACATCACCCACTGCAGCACCAGAACGGCGTAGCACTAAAGTCCCAGGGACGTGACGCTTCCTGAAGGAGTCAACTGCCGCCCAGTCCCAGGATTCTCTTTTGATGCGGAGGAAGTTCTGATCAGCTCATTTCTCTCTATTATTCTTCATTATTATTTTTTGTTTATCGCTCAGCCTTAGCAGAGCAAGGAGGCCAGTCTGGCAGGTAACTGCTGATCTTGTGATTGTCTCCTTTCAAGAGGCAAAAATGTGTTCCCACATAGGAACTGGCTGGGTGGATCTGCCCACGGTTCAACTGGCCCAGTATCTTGTCTCTCTGACAGTGACCAGCACTGGATGCTTCAGAGAGAGGTTTAAGAACCCTACCATGGGCAGATATGAAAGAATTTTCCCCCTCTCCCTTCCCACACACATTAATTATTGTCTTAATCCCTTACAATTAACGATTGGATTAAACCCAGCCTGAGGCTTTATATCCCTTCCAAAATTTGAGAGCATTAACTGCTATAATTCTGGATATCCTTGTTAGCCGTACAAATATCCAATCTC